CGCCCCGTCCCCTGCATGGCTGCCCCGTCCCCCGCACGGCTGCCCCGTCCCCTGCACGGCTGCTGCCTGGTCTCCCGCACGGCTGCCCGGTCCCCCACACAGCTGCTGCCCAGTCTCCCGCACAGCTGCCCAGTCCTCCACACGGCACGGACCCTGCGCTCTGACCACTCAGAGCCTGCAGCCAGGATGCTGCCCGCCTGCTTCAGGGAGGTGCCCTGTGAGGCTGGCATCCTTCCGCGGACCGGGTCTCCAGCCTTGAGCCTCCACACACAAGAGGCCACGGGACTGCACAGGTCAGGGGTGAGAGGGCCACCCATTTACCTCTTCTATATAAAAACGATCACCTCTTAGAAACCCGCAGAACGCTGAGTTATGTGTTACTGACCCACAGCTACGTGTCCTTTGTGTGTCCTGAAGACGAGCAGCTCTGGACTTCCCTGCCATGGCATTATGCCACGTGTCCTAACAAACACGCGTGACGTATGTGCCCTGATGCCCCTTGCCTGCAGAGGCCAGCCCCCTCATGTGAGGTTCCTTCGCAGCCCCTCCTGCCTGCGGCTTCCCCAGAGGAGGTTCAGGCCTCCTAGACTGTCTTGAGAAAGCCTTGAGAACACACATCTGGGCCTGTGGGAAGGATTTAGGGAGCACTAGGGAGGAGGGGGGCAGGCAGCCAGGGCAACTAGACCGCGGTGTCAGGAGCTTCTGCTGCTAAAAGTCAGAAACGACTGCGGGAGTGGAAGGAGGAGAGAGTGCAGCACACGCAGCCCAGGGCCCTGTGCCTCGTTTCTCTGCCACACGGAGGGTGGTGGGCCCTGCTGGGGGAGCAGGGCTAGAGGTCTCAGGGTGGGGAGACCGGACCATCTGTATTAGAGCAGAAAGCCAGCAGAGAGGAGGGTGTAAGCAAGACCATGGGGTGGGAGGGAGGCATGGGTGGGGGTAAGGTACGTCCCCTCCACTTGGAGATGGGGCGAAGAGAACAGATGCTGTGAGAACTACTCGGTGGTCCCAGCCATGGAGGAGCAGTGGTAGGCCACGCTCCGCGATGGCGGAGGCCGTATGGAGGATCAGGGTTCGGTTTCCTAGCTGACCTGAGCAGGCCGGGTACACAGGCAGATGCCATGATCCTGGCTGGCTGGGAGGGCTGGGGAGGGTCGCGGCACGCCCTCCCATCGGTGGGGCTGGTCTGTCTCTTTCTCTGCCACAGGAGAAAGAAACAAACGTGAAAACACGCACTTACTGAGACAAGTAACGACATACTCCGTGCAAAGTCTGCATATGCGCCGTGCGGGCTCGGAGAATGAAGAGCCGGCGTGTCGCCAGTCTCCTGATGATGCGGTTACGGGTGAGTTTAATTTGTCTTTAAGCTTCTCTGTATTTCCTAAATTTTTAGTAGTGATTATGTGTTACCTTTAGAGTGGGAAAAAACCCCAAGTTACATACAATGATATTCAGTGAGTTATTTTCCACTTCTACCTGGGACGTCTGTGCATATCAGTTTCCAGTTGGCGTGGGGGTAAGGGAGGTCCTGGGAACAATGGCGTTTAGAGAATGGCTCATTCCGCGTTAAGGGGGACTGATTTAGTGGACGTTTGTCTACTGCTGCTTGCCCTCTGCTCGGAGCCACCAGGGTCAGGGAAGGAAGGAGGGGGGTCAGCACCCGCAGCCTCAGGCCATGGTGGAGAAGGAGCGAGGTCTGACATGAGCAGTGGCCTGGCTCACACGGCCTCCGTGCCCTCCTGGGAGAAGTCCCGTCCCTGGCAGTGCATCTGGGGGAAACTTCCCACTGAGGGGGGGAGTGCAGGTGAGGTCTAAAGCCACGTAGGGAAGAGCAGTGACGGCTTTCCCCGAGCCCTGGACAGGGCGGGCAGGGGGAGTGAGGGGCAGGGATGCCACCTGTCCTGCTCTGGGCTGAGGCGGGCAGAGCCAGGAAGTCGGAGCCATGTCCCCAGCTCTGACGGTCACCTCCATGGTGACCTTGGCAGGCTCAGCATGGGCAAAAAGAAGGGTTTACGTTACATGGTCTCCAGGTTGTCTCCTCTGACCGGGGAGGAGCTGGGAGGGCCAAGAAAGAGGAGAGAGTCTGAGCCTAAGCTCGGGCGGCGGGCCACGCGGAACTCCTTTACTACCCGGCGGACCGTGTGGGTGGCTCGGACCGAGGACGTGAGAACGTGAAGTGCTTGTTAGGAACCCACACCTCTCGGGCAACAGAACTCGTGGGACAGCGGAGCTCCGTGTGGCTGTTTTCACACAACCCTCACTCTTCCGTCATCCCAGATCACAGACTACACGCTGCAGGCCGGGCACGTAGGACACCTGGGGAACACCACCACGCGGCGCGGTGAGGTGACAGACACCCCGCAGCAACGTCAGGGAACAGCTCAGTGGCTCGGGTGGCGCTCACGGTCAGAGGGGCAGATGGTGGCTAACTGTCCAGTGCAGACAAAGCCCTGTGGAGCTAGGAGGGGCATTGGCATTGCCAGCAGGAGCCAGGAGAGCCCAGAAGGGGCAGAAGATGAAAGCCATTTCCAGCCCCTGAAGAGCTCCCAGCCGCCACGGCGGTTTCTGAGATGTATCCAACAGCCCCTGCGGCCACCTCGGCCTTTGCTCCTGACAGTCCCGACAGCTGGAGCTACTCGCGCTCGGGGCCTCTGTGCATCCCGAGTTGCACCAAAATATGAATACGACAGCCCAGCAAGCTCCTCTGGTCGCCCTGGAGGGTCTGAGGAAAGCCACAGCTCCTTCCGAGCTAGCGATGGGGCTCAGGCCCCCATGTAGAGAAGCCCTGAGGTCCTAGGGTCCCATGGGCTGCAGAGGACCACAGAGCCACCGAACGCGGCGTGATGAAGAGGGGCCAAGCAGAGGCGGAGCCGATAGGAAGGCAGCATCATTCCCTGGGGATCCCTGGGGGTCCTTGAAGCTGCTATAGTGTCTATGCATGCCTTTTTTATTATTTATTATTCTTATTTTTAAAAATCTGTGTGTTCCAGTTTGGTGCAGGGCACACTCAGGCATTAATTGAGCAGGTGGTCAAGGCCAGGACTAGGCCAGCTAGTGGTGTGGATCCCACACACTGACTACATGCCTGGTGGCTGGAAAAACATGCCAGGAGGGTGTGCGTGCATGCCCGAAATCCCTAGAGGAGAAGGGACTGTGACGTGGCACCCTGGACGGGGTGCTTTCTCATTTTCTCTTTCTCTCTCTCCAGCAAGCGCCCACACCCTACACACACACACACACACACACACACACACACAGAGGCTGTGACCACTATATCACATAGAGATGGTCCAGGCCGTGCCACAGGAACCCTGGAACAGGGCTACGGCGGTGGGACCAGCAGTTGGTGTAATGGCCGTGTCACTGGACTTCCATGTAGTCAAGTCAGTGGTTTGAGTCCTAGACCTGGAGGCTTAAATTCACGCGAGCACCTGCACCCTATAGTAAAAATGTCTCCAAAAAAGAAGGAAAATAAAAACAAACAGAATAGAGCCACAGCGGAAAAGCGGGCCCCTCCCGGGTCCCGGCAGCAGCA